AAAATTATGTATTATGCATCACTTGAGGCACTGTTTAGTCTTGTGTTCACAACAAATGTCAGTTTATATCTTGAAAACATTTTTCTTTTTCAGATATTTGGCTTGTTGCCTGTCAAGAAGGCAACCTATATCCCGTATCAGGTTGAAGATTCCACAGAATGCCTGCATGTGAGACCAAAAAGATCCATCATGCCTTATCCTGGTCGGGACATAGACGATGCTCACACAGTTCTCAAGGTTACTACTAATTTTAATATGCTGTGTGTGTGTGTGTGTGTGTGTGTGTGTGTTTGTACAAACACAATATATGTATTAGGGGTGTAACAATACACGTATTTGTACAAATCCGTTCGGTACAGGCCCTTTCAGTTCAGTACAGAGGTTTACTGCGGTACGAAAATTTTAAGACTACTAAGAATGGCCAATGTACAGAATTGCTTCCATTGCGAAACTTTAAATCTCATGGTGCCCACAGTTGCGGTGGACCTTTTCCGCCTCACAGTTGCGCAGTATTGCCGAGCTAAAAACAAGTAGGAGTTTCCAGTGGACCACAGGATGTGACGGACCGTTTATTTTCCTGTTGGCGCTTTCTTATATGCCCAGTCTGTATGGCTAACGAATGGGATGGCTAATGCTAACAACAACAACAACAACAACAACATCAAGATCAAGCCAGAGCTGGAAGACGCTCCCGTGTCATTAAAATCACCTGTTTGGGATCACTTTGATTTCCTGGTGAAGTACGAAAAAGGAGAAAAACAAGTCGACAAGATGAAAGCCGTATGTCCACATTGTGAAGCGGTCGTCAACTATGCATCCGGCAACATGTCAAACTTACACACTCATTTGAAAAGGCAGCATCGAAGTGTAACTGCCCGCTGTGCTGGAGCTCTGACTCCACTCAGTCCTCATCGCTGTCTTCTCAGTAGTACATGAGGAAGCTACAGCCAGGCAGCATCACAGGAGTGGGCTGAGCGGAGCTACTGACAGATAAGCTCAGAACCACGTTGTGACATTAACAATGACTCAGCATGTCTCCTGGTTCACTTTAACTCTCTTTGCCATGTGTCAGGACGACTGACCCGTGCTTCGTTGCGTCGTCATGCTTTTCATTTATGTTTCATTGCTAAAGTTGTGCTAACCTAGCGTAAGTTACTCCCTGTCTGTTTATGTTAGCAATAACATCGCTGTAGTTATGCCAACCGAGCATAGCATTTGCTAACAGCTTAAAGCCAGTAGGGAACTGTAGAAATAACGGAAGTGTACAAAATATTAGTACTGAACTTGGTTGTTTGCAGCAGTGTCTTCCTTTTTATACTGGAAAAGTAATTCAGTTCTATTTACAGCAGACCAACAAGCTGGAATTGTTAATGCTGCACTTGTACTTTTATTTATTATATTTTGTTTATTTGGTATTGAGAACGATGCCACCGTATTTCTGTTACATTTGTATATATTGTACATTTAATTTCATTTACTGAGCTGTTAACAGCTTTTTGTTTTAATAAAATAAACAAATGTTTTGGATTAACTTTGAGCAGGTTTTAAAAAATATATATATATATTTCTCCCCTTAGCTGACAACCGAACATTACATTACATGTGGCAGTTTAGGTTGTTGTACCTGTAATGTCTTTTCTGGTGATATTTGTGTGTTGTTGGATTTTCTAGAATGTGGGACTGAAGATGGCAACAAACTTGTTGATCCAAATACCTACATGCCTCCAGTACAGAGGAAGAGAATACCATCATAACCAATATGGTAACTTTTTAAAAAAAAAATATTGCTTTGATCTGTCCATTGCCACATGCTTAATCTGTACTGAAATTGAAATATCTATCTTTGTCCTGTCTGGTCTCTGTATCTAGTATAAACTAAAAAAATCTTCTTTATTTTCAGGTATTCATTACAGGTACAATACTTATCCAATGGCTGGAATGGACACAGTGCGTCTTGCGATGGCTCCTGCTGGTCCTGCTGGTCCTGTTGGTATGGGATATGGCAAAACTGCTTCTCAAGATGATCCTTCACCGATACAGACAGTCCGCACTTTCTTTCCGGAGACTTGGATTTGGGACCTGGTGGACGTTGGGTGAGCTTCTGTTGCTACTGGATTTGATGGTCTTGAAATAAGGAAAAATGAGAACACCTTTGAGTACAGCTATGGACCCATAAGGCATATACACTTCCAGCTGTGTCCTTGAAGAGATAAATGCAATGAAGGTCATTTTAGAAGTCAGCTGAGACTTTTAATTTTAAGGATGTCTGTGATGCTTCAGAAATTGTATGAAACATTGTACAAGTGATTGCATATCGGAAAAGATCTTTTGACAGAGTGCATCGTGTTCAGAATTCTACTCTTTGTTCAAATATGGGAATTAATTCCCAAATTTCCTCATCATCATGGAATTCAGCTACTTTGTGAAAATGCAGCAGGACATTCTCAGCTCAAAGTTTGTGTCTGTGTTTTGTAAGTATGTTTTACCATCTGACAAAGTGTGTTTGTGTATATCTGCTGATCCAGATCATCTGGAACAAAGAACGTGTCCCTCACCGTCCCAGACACCATCACCACCTGGGAGACGGAGACTTTCTGTTTGTCCCATGAGGGTTTTGGTTTGGCTCCTCGTAAAGAAGTCACCGTCTTCCAGCCCTTCTTCCTGGATCTCACGCTGCCCTACTCCATCGTCCGGGGGGAGGAGTTTGAACTGAAAGCAACCGTCTTCAACTACCAGTCAAGCTGCATCATGGTAACAAATGATTTCACTTGACCTCAATGCTATTGTCACTGTGTTGACATGCTGATGAAGACACATGCTGATGTGGTGATTTAGCATGCTAGTATTTGCTAATTAGGGCTGCAGGGCTGACATAGTTGGTTAGCACTGTTGCCTCGCAGCAAGAAGGTCGCTGGTTCGCNACCCTACAGAGGATAAAGTGGTGTATAGATAATGGGTTGATTGAATGAATGTATTGCTTGACCTCCATCTTACTCCAGCTGATATCTTTGTGTTCTATTTTATTCTACTTTGTAGACGGACAACAAAGGCTGTGCCACTTTTGCCTTCAGCATGTCAACTTTCACCAAAATTGCTTCAAAAATATTAGAAGATGTGTTTGATGTCAGCGCTGAAGTGGAAGAGGAGGGGACAGGCAAGTATTATATTAGATAATAGATTTCTGATCTAACAGGGAAATTTAGTGTTTGAAGACAATTTTATGTATTTCAACAATAAGGCATTCACACTGTTGTAACATGGAGGCTTTTCATATTCAGGTATTTCACGCACACAAAGGGGCAAAATCGGGCTTTCATATGTGATTGGAAGGCTGTCTTTCATTGACACGCCCACGATTTATGGGTCAGGATCAAGGGTGGGAGGAAAAGTAAGTGGAAAACTAATCTTGTGTTTCTCTGTATCATGTACTGCACGAGGCAGCTTAGATCATGTGCATGTCCAGTGATACAGCTCTGTTCTTTCAACAGGTTACAGCCGTTGATTACGATAATAGACCAATTCCTCATATTCCGGTGTACCTGTTTGAGGGTGAAAGGTGGTCGTCACGACGGCTGCAGAATCTCACAACTGACAGCAGTGGTGTCGCCTCCTTCTCATTAGACACAGAGAACTTAAATGGGGATATTCGTCTCCATGTAAGTAAAAAGTCGTACTGCACTCAGAAATATAATGTTTCAACAAAAATAAATAAATGGAACAGTTTGCGTTTTTTTGATTTAAGACAAGTTTTGATAAAAAATTCTGTTCATCGGACAACCTACACGAGTTAGGAGGGTTTGCTTTTCCTCTGCAATCAAAGTACTATTAATGACTACTTACTTAATGAATGGCAGTATGAACAAAAGTTTTTAAGTTGACTCATCAAAACTTAAGTTGCTCCAAATAGTATTTTTTTCCAGGTAATTTAAAATACATTTTTAGTGAGCCTGTCAAAACTCCAAAGCATCTTTATAGTTTTCGATTTTTCATATTTATTCTCATCTCGTAGCTTCAGTGGAATGAATTAATTCAGAAAAAAAAAAATCTTATTTAGTACTTTGGTAAACTCAAGGGGATGGCCAAATTCCACTTCTAAATATGAGTCCACTGTTTCTCACATCACATTTGAAAATATTCCCAAATGCTTTGCTTTAGTTGCATTTAATTGTTGAAGACATAATTTTGACCTTGTGTTATAAAGTAATCAAGGGAATTTCATTCATATACCTCAACCAGAATTTTGCATTAAATAAACAAAAACAGAATTTTAAGTTGAAATTCCATACAGTATAACAGCTGATGCAATTTCCAAAAATGTCACGTCAGCCCAACTTATTAAAATAATGTTTGCAACCTGGAAGATTTATCAACATTAATATATTGCATTTTTTATCTGCAATTATGCTTGTAATAAAGTGGGAATAGGCCCCTTAAACTTGCTTTTTACAGTCTGTAAGCTGTCATAAAAGTAATAACACAGCCTAAAAGTTGACTGTGAAATGGTTTCTTAGTATACTGCAACTGTCCAAAATGCTGCCATTGTAACTAGTGGCCATATTGAAACTGTTTAATATTTAGTTGACCTTCCTTCTTCTACACAAACCGCCATTGACAAAGTTTCTTTTGTACAATGTAGGTAAGCTCGTCACCGACACTGGAGTACCCCGCATATAAAACTCCCCACCATGAGTCTGGATCACACACACTGACTATGTTCCGTCCTGCGTCTCCTGATGCTAAAACAGTCAGCTTCCTTCAGGTGAAGAAGAACGATAAAACCCTTGCCTGTGATGTAGAGGAGGACATCTCCATCGAGTACGTTGTAGTGGGAGAAGGCCAGGGCACTGTGGATCTGATGTATCTGGTGAGTTGGTTCTCAGGTTGTCACCGACTCTGCCTTCCAGAGACGGTGAACAGTGGAAAGA